TACTTAAATATTACAAGATTATTTAATATTATAATAATAATAATAATTTATAACTATAATGCATACATACCTCAAGCACTTTTGGCGGTCTTTAACTGGAACACAGATGGTGAATTACCTTGCTACATATTCCTTGATTTTATGATACTGTTAGTAGGTGTTGTCTGTTTCCTTCTCAGACTACACCACTTCTGCAGAGGAAACAATATTGCTTATCTCATAATAACCTTTGGCAGAGCCAAGCATGTACAGCAAACTCCAAAGGACTATTTTGGGTTAGTGGAGACCACTTGTAGCAGTTTGTAAGGAACTTGTAGAAAAAAGCTTGGATGAAGTTCCTGGAGGAGGCCTCAATCTTTCTGCTCAGAGGTCTGCTAGCAGTAGTTAGAACATCCTTGTAAATAAGTAATAAAGAGATTAGGTTTTTTAGAAGCCCATAGCCCTTTCATGTCACTACCCAGCATATGTGAAACACGGTGGCAAGGAGGAAAGCTAGTGAGAACAACAAAAGAAGTGAGTGTGGTTAGCAGGAAAACTAACCAGCACTTAGAGTCTAAATAGGTGACTCATATGATAGGAAATGAGATAATTGACAGAAATAGAGCCCCAAACTGAGGACAGTGGAAAACCTGTTTGAATTCTGTCATCTCAAACTGAAAGAGTGTCTGTGGTGATTGTTTATCAGAAAGCAAAGAGCAATACAAGCGATAGCGTTGAGAAACTTGTTATTTTATGTAATTTTGCAAGCATTAAAAATTTCCTAACTTTTGGCAGGGTTATATCATGGAACTTGTGCCTCTAGGCTTTGGGGGAGATTGGTCAGAGAAACAAATTTAAACCTCAAGAAAAATCTGCAAATGACTAATATAAGTGAGAGAAAGGGGCAGAAAAAATGTGGATGCTCAAAATGAAGGAAGTCACAGGGCAGGACAGAGGCTGAAAGCTGAGGAAAGCAGGCAATATAGAGCAACATATATTCTGCAGAAAGTAATGTGGAAGTCTGAAGGAAGAAAAATCAGCTTCTGGGCAAAAATACAAGACACCAAAAACCCCCACCCTCTTTCTACCCAATTTATTGCACAGCTTCTTCAGGAGGAAGAAAGTAACTGAGGAGGTCAAAACTGCACCTGGAGAGAAGGCTACTTGAGATGTGATTTGCACACCCCTTGCCACACAGCTGCTGTGCTCACTGTGGTGCAAAAGGAAGAAAAGAACAACTGTCTTAGGTGTTGCCTGACAGTGACTTTATGTTAAATTTTTTTTCCATTGAGAAAAAAGATGAAAAGAGTGCAAAAGTTTTAAATAGTTCTTTTTCTGATGAATGCAATGAAAGAACAAGGGATAAAAGGTGAAAAAGTGGTTTTGAAGATACAGCAGTTTTGAGAGAACAAGTCATGCTATAGCAAGCATGAAAAAATATCAATAAGCACAGATATATCTGAAGTTTTGGAAGATAAGTTCAGGAACTACTGACCTGAAAAATAACTTAAGCTAACTGCTGCAGGCATGATAAAATTTGAGTAGGTAAAAATGGAATTATAAGGGGGACAAAAATTAGGTTAAGATCCCATGTATTTCACAGAAATTATGATTGGTCTACAAATTCATTAGCAATAGTGCTTATGTCTCCTTATTCTGTACAAAGCCAAGCATGGTCTTTTGTGCTTAATAAATAGTTTGCAACAATAGTAATGTGGTAGGAAAGGGATTTTCACTTTCAATGGCATTTTTTTTGCAAGACCCAAACAACTAAAGTGATAGTTTAATGATTGAAAGAGTCTAATTTGTTTCTCTAGATATAGAGAAATGCCACTTACTAAATAGCAGAACTGAAACTTCAGCTGAAAAGTAATGCAGGGAAATGAGCAAGAGGGATAAAAACAAGTTCCTGTCTTGGAATCACACCTCTAGCTAAGCATATTATTTTGTATATATCATGCACACATAGATATGCATTTTAAGAGTTCAACTAGCCTTCTCTTTCAAACACCAACTGAAAAAGTTATTTAACATTCTTATTTTTGGAGCATGAGGTTGTAAGGTAGCCCTTGAGTTTGATTTTTTTGTAAAGTAGAAGGATGCCCTCGCAAATTCCACAGCTCTGCAGTTTATGTGTTTGTTTTAAAATGGCAATTGCCAGCAGCCTTGTTCATCCCACTTTGTTCATCCCATACTATATTTTTTTGTTTCTCCACAAATTAAATTATAATTCATGATTCTCTCTGAATTAGCTTCCCACAGAAATCCTTATCATAACTAATGCAGTTGTTATTACTCATTTTAACAATTTAGTCTATAAATTAGTAGAAAGTACTTTACATTTTTCTGTTAGTGAACAGAACTTAACAGAACAGAACTCCTATCAGTACTTAAAGGGGGCTTATAGAAAAGATGGAGACAAACTTTTTAGCAGGGCCTGTTGCGACAGGACAAGGGGGAATGGCTTTAAACTAAAAGAGGGTAGATTTAGACTAGATATAAGGAAGAAATTTTTTACGCTGAGGGTGGTGAAAACACTGGAACAGGTTGCCCAGGGAGGTGGTGGAGATGCCCCATCTGGAAACATTCCAGGTCAGGTTGGACGGGGCTCTGAGCAACCTGATCTAGTTGAAGATGTGCCTGCCCACAGCAGGGGGGTTGGACTAGGTGACCTTTAGAGTCCCTTCCATCCCAAACTATTCTATGGTTCTATGATTCTATGAACTTATTTTTACAGGGAATTTAAAGGTATTATATGTACTGCATGCTGACTGGCTGATAAATTTTTGCATATCTGCCCTTACAATACATTAAGCATGTAATAATGCAGCAAATAGGAACATTAACAGCAGACCTGAATGTGAATTTGAACGACCTAAGACTGAAGAGAAAGAAATAATACTTTTGTGAAAAAACTAGAATTATGCTGATGTGTTAGTGTACATGGAAATGTAGCCTAATAAATACTGAGATTTCAAGGAAAAACTGCTGCCAGAAGTGTTGAAAAACTTTCTTATTATGGTATACAGTGCTTACCCTGCAGGCAATTCTGATATCCAGAATGCGTGGATATTAGGCTTTATTTATAGATAGATAGACAGATTAATATACCTGTATTTTAAGCTATTCTTTAAGACTGGAAATTATCAAAATTGATATTGTTTGTTTTCTCTCTCTTAGCGTATCCCTAAGCTGTCAGGGAACCGTCAGGCAGAAGAAGGCTGCTCCAGGGTGGGGGGCTGGCAGGGCAGGCAGGGCAGGCAGCGCCGTGCCATCACCAGCAAGGGTGCAGCCCTGCAGCATCTGCACAAGACGAGCAGGGCAGGTATGGTGGCAGTGGCTGGGGGGAAGCACAGCCCCACGGCCCGGCTGTCGTCCTCATGCCGTTCTTTCCCAGGAGATGGTGCAGGGCTGCTCAGAGGCACCATCTCAGTGCATGGGCAGCAAGCCCCCTTGGTGTGGGAGGAGACTGCAGAGCCTGTTGGGGTGCTTGGAATCCTGACGCAAGCAATCTCTTTCTCTCATCTTTCCCCTTTTCTCTTTCTTGAGTTTTCACAATGCAGTGTTTACTTTCTCTTATGTATAACTCTCACACACCACACTTTTTTCTTGCTGAACCTCTGTTTCGGCTTAAAGAAAAGTAAGTATCATATGACTTTGCTTTTTTACTTGTCAATACTACATTTCTCAGGAATTTCCATCATCTATACTGGCATCCTTGGGTTAAAAAAATGCTTTGGAATATTCTTTTTTAGGAGGTAAAATGCCTTGTAAAGATGGTCATCAGGCATTTATATGTCTCTACCCTTTTGTGAACAAACAAAAAAACCTCATGACTGTGCCTGGGATCTGAGCACTCCAAAGTCAGAAGAATTTCCAGTCCTAACAATCCCTTTTTTGCATTCTCTAATTCTTTGCTCATGTAATTGGTTGAAATAGGATTGATAAGGATGAAGCAAATTCATGACTTTTAGATCCTCAAATGTCCAAATTGCTCTCTTAAGAACAGAAACCTTGATATTACTTGTTAGTTCACAAATCTGTCAATGCTAAGAGATTATTTTTAAAGCAGGGATTACACAATGCCACCTTGATCATACCAAGCTTCTCTTTTTCTGAACAAAAGTATTGGCAGCCTTCATCAGCAGAAAGCCCGTATATCTAGGTGTCTTTACCCAAAATTGTCCATGACATTTGGACAAGAATATTCCAAACAACTAAAAAAATTAATTGAGTGATGCCTTTTGGCATTGTGAAAAGTACATCTTCGTTACCTCAGTAATTTTCGCTCTGATACCACCACAGAAGATCACTTGAAGGAGAATTTATTAACATCTGAGTAATTTTGTCAAAGGTTTATTTAACACAACACAAGCAGTCTAGATTAATGTCTCTGGCCTATGATGGAAACAAATTTCTCAAGGCTTTCTGGAATATAACGTGTAACATAGTCCAAAGAGAGCAGCACAAAACCAAGTCTGTCAGTCAAAACACATACAAATGCCATACAAATATCATCCTTTTGGTGTAAATAACTCACTGAGTTCACCCAGTTTGAATCTGCTCTTTCTTATGTAAGTCATAAAAATAAAAGCTAGGAAATAGCTAGTTTTTCAGGAACTTGAAGTCATCACTCATCTGTAAATCTGACAGTCCACAGGAGGGGAGGTTGGGTGCGGAACATTTAACTCCAACCATATCACTACTCATAACATTAAAAGTTCTTTTAAAGTCATTAAAATCATCGCCTGACAGCAATCTAGTACGCTTCCCCTCTGCTCTCTAGGAATAGTTGGTTTCCATTTTAGACTATTTTGTTCAATTAGGCTGCGTAAAAAGTAGGACACCAGACAATAGAAACATTTTTCTTTTCAGGAATGAGCTCTTGGTACATTTTGAAGACATCAATGGCCGAGGGACCTAAAATTACTTATGTTACACAATCTGAACCTCTGCTTCCCAATTCCAGCATCCAGTGTTTTTTATTTGCTCTTAATTTAATACTCAGAATTAGACTGTTATGTGTTCGTGTAAAAGGTTCATAATGTTATTTAAATGGATTGCTTCTTAAAGTGCACTAATTGTGAAATCACATCACTGTACCTCCAGATAGCTAAAAGAGAAGCCACAAGCTAGGCAAAAAAAGATATGTTATATTAGACAAGACAGAAATGTTAATTAAGAACTCTTACATACTGAAGTTGAGAGGAAA